GCTGCAAACCAATCTCGGGGACGGACGCACCCGAAGATGCGTTTCTGCGTCAACATATTGAACGGTAGCCGATTAAGGGCCCAGTTCAAAAATCGCAGATCCAAGATTGGCCGTAACCCACTGCCTTTCTTGGGTACAATGAAGTAAGGGCTGTAAAACCCCGACCTCATATCGGCTGGAGGGACCGGCTCTGTCGCATCCTTTGCCAGTTGGACTGCAATCTCTGCCCGCAGAACAGGGGCATCGGCCGCCCTCACTGTAGTGAAGCGGATACTGCTGAACTTGGGCTGGCGCCGGGCGAACTGAATCGCATAGCCGAGGCTGATGGTCCGCAGAAGCCAACGAGACGGGCTGGGTAGCGCTGACCAAGCACCCAGAAACCGTACAAGCGGGACCACAGCCGTACCCGCAGTGGGGCAGCGAGGTGGAACACAGGGACCCAACTTGGGTGGCTTGTGAGCGAGCCGGAGAGAGGTGTGAGTGTGGGGTGCAAGGCTCACCTGGTTCCACGGGTTGGCAGAGGGTGCGTGAGTAGGGCCTTTGTTGACGCTCTCGAACCGCCTGCTGCTGCCGGCTGGCGAAGGAGGAGGATGAGTGAGGTCCGGCGTTAGACCGTCCGCAACTCTCCGTGCCCACCTGGGACCCAGAGATAAAGGAAACTGCTCTTTTGTCGAGAATTTGGGTACCATCGGCCGTGAGGCCAACGGCGGGAAAAAATTAAACAAAAGATTCTCCACCCGGCCCTCCTCCAGGGGAGGGAGTGGTGCGTTCACCATCTCCCGAAGAGCAGATCCTTCCACCTCTGGGTTGCCTGTCTCAGGGCCGCCAGGTTTGACGGGGGCCTGGACAGGTGGGGCGGCCCGCCCACGCCTGGCTCCACGACTCCGCTATGCTGAAGGCTGCTGCGGATGTGGCGCAGGGGCAGACGCGGGGGCCCGCCCTCGGCGACGAGCAGGCTGGGGCGCTGCAGCCGGCGGACGGGTGGAGGCAGCAGCTGCCCGCCGGGGCAGGATGTGTCGGATCGCCTCAGTCTGCTTCTGGGCAGCCGAAAACTGCTGGGCAAAGCTCTCGACTGCGTCGCCGAAGAGGCCGGTCTGGGACACAGGGGAATTGAGGAACCGAACCTTGTCTGTGTCCCTCATGTCTACCAGACATGGACCACAAGCGTGGACATCGCACGACCCAGAGAACTCGCGGTGACCTTTGTCGCTCGGAGCACAAGGTCAGTGGCGGTTCGGAGCTCTTTTAGAACTTCCGGATCATGACCACCCTCGTGCAGGTCCTTCAGTGCCTTAGCCTGGTGCACCTGCAGTAACGCCATAGCGTGTAAGGCGGAAGCAGCTTCCCCGCAAGCCGTATTGGCACTGCCGGTTAGACCAGACTAATGCCTACAGGCCCGGGAAGGAAGTACCGGGTCTCCCTGCCAGGAAGAGGCGGACTTAGGACATAATTGCATCGCTACCGCCCGCTCCACCGGGGGGATAGCCGAATACCCCTTCACTGCACCGCCGTTGAGGGTGGTGAGGGAGGAGGAGCCCTCCAGCCAGTTTCTGGTAGTAAAAGGTGTCGTCCACGACCTGGTGAGCTCGTCATGCACTTCCGGGAAGAAAGGCACTGGGGTGGGTTTCCACTCGAGCCCGACCCTTTCGGTGGCCCGGGAAAGCATAGCTGTCATCTCCGGATCCGGTTCAGGCTTTACCACCATCCCGGAGGGCGGCAGCGCAGCCGAATCTTCATCGGACAGCTCTCCCTCCGATGCTGAGATCGACATCTGGTCGGAGGGAGGCCCACTGGATACCGCTGATACGCTCTTTAAAGAGGGCCCAGCGCGTTCCGTGGGTCGCTCCACTGGATTGAAGGTGCAAGAGGAGTGATGATCCCCAGAGGGTTGGTTCCCTGCGGGGTTTGCCATCACTGTAACCCTCAAACCGCCCGCGCTACTGCAGGAAGTGGTTCTCGTCTGTCCACCAGAACGAGCCCCAGATCGCGGCAACGGGACTCTGCCCCCTTGCGAGTAGTGGAGCCTGATTCGCAGCTCCGAGATGGTCATGTTCCCGCAATGAAGAGAGCATGCTGAACTCGTAGTTCTCGAAATGAATATAGAGCAGAACGATGTTGTCGCTCGACTCTGAAGCGAAAAGCTGGTATGCATTGTACCTGTTGCCTTATTATACTCATGCTGTGATCAGCGGCAGTAATTGCATGCCAATGAGCATTGGCTCGTTTAGTTACACTTGAAGCAGATTGGTCTATCGAAGCGATATCCCAATTCGTCGGTCACCGACGTGACTCGGAGTGACCGACTGAAAGGGAATGGTACAGTTCGCTTGGAACTTCAACCGAGGTGGTACTGAAAAAAGTACCAGGTACTGTACCCAGTGGAAAACCCCCCAAAAGTGAACCATACCGTGCCGTACCATGCAGTAGAAAAGTGCCATTGGTGTTGTTTCCAAACAAAAGGAAATATATCGGTATCAGCATCGGCTTTCGGCCGAAATGAGTTGAAAAATATCGACATATCGGATATACTGTACTTATATACTTGTATATACTTATATCTGACTAATTTCATTCTGGGCCAAAAGCTTTAGCCCCCATTCTCTCTCCAGAGAGGTCGCCTGAATCAGCAGTACATTTTAGGCCTCATCTGGCAAATAAAAATCCATTAGCTCCCTTTTGATCCAGGAAAGTGGATCATAATGGTGGAGGAGGATTTCAATGCGAAAAGCTTGCTTTGTCCCTCAAATGAAAATATATGAAGTCACAAAAAGTATTTTCCATTAGTGTTTTGACAGTGGCGAGGGATGAGGGTATAAGCAGCACTTAGAGTTAATGGCTGGATGAAAATGGGAATTTGGGGACTAAAAAGTTAATATAATATCTCATGATATTGAGATCTGGTGACTGGGGCTGTTTTTTAAAAGCAGGACATCCTGTAGAGATCTCTTTAATTTCTCAATTTGTTATCTTGCATAAAAAAAGACCAAAGACCAAGAGACCAAATTTCACATTTCAAAATGAACTCAAACATTTCTCATCAGATTACTTTAAGACCAAATGATATAAATTATGATATCCACATTCATTTTATCGTGCTATTCTCTATCAACAAAGTTGATACTTAAATGAAACCCCATTCAGTTACCAGCAACCTTTGAGTAATACAATTGCTCTCTGTGTTTGTTAGTCACCTACAATCTGATGTGTTTTGAGCTAACATTAGCCTAGCATAGTTCTGATTTGCCATTTTCTGACCTCATTCCGTAATGCTTCCAGGAAAGATCTTACAGTTGTTTCAGGAAAGCACCGTGTAAGAGATACCATGAGCTGCTGAGACTGATATCATTGTAGTAGGTTGAGAGTTAAGATCTGTGGTTTGGTGTATGTCTGTCTGGATTCTATGGCATTTCTTCCTGCGCCTGTCTGTCTGAGTCTTGTAATCTGTCTGTCTGAACGCATAGGTACGTGGAGAGAACATGCACCTGCAGCTTGTTTCCTGCCAAAATCTGTTCTGTGCACACACACACACACATTCCTTTAGTTGCTGATCCAGCCATGCGGTCCACTCGGCAGACGTCCATGTAGTCTATTTGTCTGTCCGCTAGTGTCAGGATGTCTGCTAGACTGCTGGAAGCCTTTTTCCTTTTGTTGCAGGCTAAGCGCTCTTGATTGTCAACACACACAAAAAATGCATTTACTGTATATTTGTATTAAGTAATAGAGTATGATTAAAAGGCTAAAAGATTAAATATTAATACAATAAACTCAAATTTTATTCAGTTTTGTCTATAAAAGTTAATCTTTTCTGACCAAATAATTAGAAGCTCCACAGTGGAAGCTCTGCAGTATATTATTTTTTTACTAAACATTATGGCGTACAGTAGTGGGTCATACAGCTGTTTTATGCATACCAATATATATATTGCCTACTGCATAATGCATAAATAGCAAGCATAGTATGGTAGTATGTTATTCTAAATATAGCCAGTGTGGTTAATGACCTGGAGGCAAAGTCAGCAATTATTTTTAACATTTTATACATGCAGGTACATACATATTTTATACTTACATTTTGATTAGACTGCTAAAAGTTGGAATAGTTTTACACAAAATGTGATTATAAATGCAAAATGTGCGCATATATTATTTATTCAACCTGCAACAGTAAAGTTATTTAGCAATGTAGCTTGCTGCTCTTTGAAATGTTGAATATTGTATATAGTATAATTTGAACACTGTAAGCAATACTTGCATTCTGAGACAATTAGGTGGAAATGAACATCAATCTTGTTTTTTCTACTCTGTCCTCTAGACAAACCAGGGAACAAGAAACACCCCCAGACTTCTTCTACTTCTCTGACTTTGAGCGACACAACGCAGAGATCGCTGCATTTCATCTGGACAGGTAAGAATAAAACACCTACAGAGAGAAAGAGAGAGTTTTTGCAGGGCCAAGTGGTCAGTTGTGAGAGTTTCGGGAAGTTGTTTCCAGTTTCTATTGGCTATATACCTTATTTTCTTGTATGTCTTTCTGTTTAAGAGACAAACTGGTACCATCTGAATAACAATGAGATCATGTGACCTTAAGCATTGCCAAGAGTTTATGCTTAGCATCCCACTGTGTTTACTTTGTGTTTACTCGGCCTTTATCTTCGTTTGACAGAAATGTGTTTAGACATGACAGGTCTGGGAATTTATTTTAAGGTGTCTGACCTTAATGATATAGGAATATTAGATTGCCAGTATATTGGACAATGTCATAATTATTGTCGGAACTTTAAGTTGTATTTTCCATTATTTCAGTTCCCCCCCCCATTATTCTTGGCACTGTGCTTACTAGTTAGCAAAGTCAAGCATTATTATTACTACTGCTCATGGCTATGGATTCAAAATAACTTAATTAACTAATTATGTTTTGTAATTACTTTTAAGTAAATATTATTATGTTAAATGTTATTATTAATAATAATAGCAATGGTAACACTTTACAGTAAGGTCCCATCAGTTAAATTTAGTTGATGCATTAACTAAAATGAACTACCAAAGAGCAATTCATTTGTTACAGTGTTTATTAATCTTTAATTAAAGGGGTCATATTTTGTGGGAGAGCATTATTTTGTGTATTTGGTGTAGTGAAATGTGTTTATGCGGTTTAAAGTTTAAAAAAACACATTATTTTCCACATACTTTACATTATTGTTTCTCCTCTATGCCCCACCTTTCTGAAACGCGTCGATTTTTACAAAGCTCATCGGTCTGAAAAAGTGAGGTGTGCTTTGATTGGCCAGCTATCCAGTGCATTGTGATTGGCCGAATACCTCAAGCGTGTGACGGAAATGTTACGCCCCTCACCATACTGTTGATGCCTTGCATCGTGCCGCGTAACCATATAACCTGTCTACATTTGTGATCAGAGAAATAACAAACAACAGCTGCTACTCTACACTGCCCTAAACTCGCGTTTTAATCATTAGTGGCAAATCCTTTAAATTAAAACGTACTTACAGACTGAGTCAGTGTAACGGGGCTGACGAGACGTGAGACGTATGGATCCATCTGCAAGCTTTTATTAAAGAGACGTGGTATAACAGGCAGGGTCGAACAATGGCAAACAGGTATATGGCGGGCAAAAACACAAGAATAGTCCTAGGGCTAGCGTAGGGCACTGATAGGCAGACAGAATCACAGGGGCGAGACGAGAGGGAAAAATCCAGGAAAACAGGCAAAGATCAGAAACCGCAAAAGCAGGCAAGGCAAAACAAGGAAAACATGAAGACTCGGAAAGGGGTACAGGCTAAACAATACTCAGAAGAGAATGGTGGTTTGAGTGGGTGTTATATAGTGAGTGAGGTGATAAGAAACAGCTGTGTGCAAT